TCCAACAAAAGGGCTCAGAGAAAGGAAATTGAAGGAGGTTCACAGAAGAAGGGTAGACAGTGATTTATGTTGGGGTTTAAATGGCTGGTGTAAGCCTCACCTCCGTGACTTCAGCCTGTAGTAAGGAATATGTTGCATTACGACCTAGTCTTAAAAGAGGACATAGCGGGAACAAAAATTTTGAGCTCCCTATTTGCAATCCACTCTGGTGTTCCTCTGAATACACTGATGACTTCGCTGTGTTGGTTTCATGCTGGTGAGTCACAAACCCGGGCTTGAATGGGTTGCTTCCAGGGGTGGTCTGATGGGAATGAGTGATGGGTGTCGGAAAGTGGGGGTGCTGGGAGGAAGCTCTGTCCTGCTGACCTGTAGGTGGGAGGTCCAGGTGGAGGGAACCCCAGTAGCCAGGGTTTCAGAGGTGCGGGGAGGGGCCGAAGCGGCGCGGAGGTGGTCCTCAGTGGGCTGCGTGTGTAGGGGACGTTCCATTCCGGGCAGGAGTTGGAGGTGAAGGAAAGAGGTCCTTGGGGTGGGTTGATCCCCAGACCCTGTGTGGGCTGACTTGATGGACACTGCTAGATGGAAACTTCCCCACCCCAAATCCTGTGAAGCTGCTGTCGCAGAGAACTCTGGAGTAGATGAGGAGGGAGTGGGGCTCGTTTGCTTTTTTATTTTTAGAAGAACACATGTATAGTCTAGTTCAAAATTAATTTGAAAACTATTGAAATATTTTGCGTAAAAATGTGCCTGTTTGGCGATCATCGTGAAGCATGGCTGAGTCTGCAGCCTCGAAGGTCGGCCTTCTGTCCCGACAGCCCCGAGCGAAAAGACTGTGCCGTGCACCGCCGCTGCCCGCAGCTGGTGGCAGCGTTCTGAAGAAAGTAAAAGTTTAGAAGAAACTTTAAAAATAATGTTTATGACTTTTAAAGTTAAGGTGGCTGAGTTTGGGGGGGAGCGTGGAGAACCGGGGCAGGGGCAGTGTCACCTGCCACAGGACTCTGGCGTGGTGACGTGCACGCTGGCTGCCCTGTGTGGTAAGCGCACCGCTGGCTGCGTGCTGCTGTCACGTTAGTTTGGTGGATGTATTGTTTCCAGATCCCGTTTCTCCAGAGGGGATCTGCAGGAATTCTCCTGAGGTTGCACAGATTTGTGCTGGAACCTCTTCGGGAACGCATGGGTATGGCGGGGTCTGGATTGGATGTGGATAAAGGCCAGAGCAACCACACAGTTACTGTGAAGGACGAATGCTAGAGATGACCAAATAAAGAACATACTTTGCCGTCCATCCACAGTGGCTTTTGTAGCTTACGAGCAAACCACACGCACAGCAGTAGAGCAGGCTGCTGCTTGGGGCCTTCTGTGTGCCCCTTAAAGGCCAGAAAGGACTGTCCCTGGGACCGAGAACACGGTGAGCAGTGTGGTGTATTTCCCAAGTTTAATTATCACTTAGTGCTGACCTGGAACAATTTCGACACTGGTCTCATAATTCTACTTTTCTAATGAAAACAGCGGAAACTGCTGTGTCGGTGTCAGCAGATGCAGCCTTCCGGTGCCTGCTTCATTTCAGTCATTATCTCCCCCAGGGGAGGAGAGACCCTGGGGAGGCCTAGCCTCACCTAGTCCCATTGCTGCTAATGAACATCCTTTTCTCCCCGGATGGGTCTCTTGCTCCCGGAGGACCCGGACCGGGCTTTTCAGTTCTGCTGGCCCAGTGACTGAGCTCTCGCCACCCGCCTGGGTTGGGATTTGGGCCGCTACCTCACTGCCTCATCTGCTGCTTGTAAAGGCGGCCTGGCAGATCATTTAGGCCCATTGTGATACAAATGAGGGGCTCTTTGAATGGCTATCAACAATTTTACTGTTAAAGTAGTTTTGTTTTCAGAAACTGCATTTTGTATGTCTTTTTATGCTATTTCTGTAGATGTGTGTGACTTTGCAGTTTGATTGTGGCTTCCTAAATTTCACATGGTAATTGCCAAGGCGCTCTGCCGCCACCCCTGCAGGTAGTACGGTTGAGACTTGCCAGGCCCAGGATATAGAGGATGTGATCGGGTCTCTCAGGAGAGCGTATCACCTCTGTCAGACTGGACCCTTTGTCTAACTAGTTTTTTTAATCCATTTTTTGCCCAACCAGCCATTCTAAAATCTTCTTAGTCCCTTTACTTTCTTTTTACTTTTTGAAGATTTATTTTATTTATGCATGCATGCAAGAACTGGGGTGTAGGCCAGAGCTGGGGGGGGGTGAGAAGATTCACCAGAGACAGAGTGGGGAACAGAATAGACGGATCTAGTGAAATCCACTGCTGAGGGGAGCAGCGGGCGAGACTGGGGAGGTCCATTGTGCCCTGTGGGTCAGCTACCTGGCTGGGGATCGAACTCATGCTTGATATACTCGTGCTTGGGACAACCCGTGCCACCAGGAGGCCCCTTTACTTTCTTTTTAAACTCTTGTCTATTTTTCTTTAGAAAGAAAAGTATCTTCTGCTTTCTTCCTTCTCTTCCCATTCTTAAGCCACATAACAAAGCCCATACCTTGATTCGGCAGTCCTAGAAGTTTCCTTTTTCTTATTTAAATTTTTTTTATTTAAGCAGTAATAGTCAATGTAAATGAGAATTTTCTTACTCCTTTAAAGTCTCACGTTTTATTAACTTTTTATTTATTTATTTATTTATTCAAGTGCTGGGATACAGGCCAGATGTACAGGAGGGTGAGCAGAGTCACCAGAGTCACCAGAGACAAAGCGGGGTACAGAACAGGCAGACTGACGAAACACCCTGCTGAGGGGAGCAGCCGGTGAGTCAGAAGAGGTCTGCAGCACCATGTGGGATCCTTGCTGGCCGGCCGGGATCAAACCTGTGCTGCAGAGGCTGCAAACAGCTTCACAGTGCGGCGTTTAACCGCCTGCGCCACCAGGGAGGCCCAAGTTTTGTTAACTTTAAGAGGGTTTTATTTTCCTGATTTCACTACATAAAATGGTTCTGTGGGCCTCCCCGGTGGCGCAGCGGTTGAGCGCTGGGTTGCGAAGCTGCCCGCGGCCTCTGCAGCGCCGGTTCGATCCCCGGCTGCTCCCCGGCCACCGGAGGAGGGTCCCACATGGCGCGCAGACCTCTCCTGCCGCCCGCTGCTCCCCTCAGCAGTGTACTTCGGTCCTTCTGCCTGCTCTGCTCCCCGCTCTGGCTCTGGTGGATCCTCTCACCCTCCCGCGCTTCTGACTGCACCCAGTGCATGTATAAACAAACAAACAAATAAATAAATAGAGCATGCCTCTATTTAAAAAAAAAAAGTTAAAAAAAAATAAAATGGTTCTGTATTTTGAGCTAAATGAACTTTATGAGCTCACTTACATAACATCATTTCTTTTGAACACAGTCCATTTGAGCTGTGTGGCGCCCCTGGTCTACCGGTGGCTCCTGTGTCCCATGCAGCCCCCCATGGGGACTGACCTCTCCTAGCCATGTGTGTAACATTGTCACCTTTTGTTGTGTCTGCTAGGAGGGTGCCCTGTGGTGGTCTGAGTTTTCGTTTCACACGTATTCAGAAACCCATAGTGTTTTCGGCATTGTACTGGTCGTGGGAGGCAACTTAGTGGACGAGGAGAATTTCAGATAACACGAAGCTCTAAACAGAAGTCAAACAGGACGGCTGTGGCAGTGACTGCGACAGGGTGCCCCCTTAGGAGGGGCGGGCTTGGGGGAGGCTCCTCTGAAGGGAGGACATTCGAGCCCAGAATAATAACAAAAGTGAGTCATACTTCAGAGATCTGGGGGAGGCCAGAACAAAGGCTCTGAGGCCGCCAGGAACTTGGCAGGAACAGAGGGGATCTGACTGGAGCCCAGGGAGGGCTGGGGCGGGGAGGGGCAGCAGATGGGATTAGGGAGGTGGGCAGAGCTGGGTGGGCCCTGGATTGGGGCCTGTGCTTAGGTGTTGGGGACTTACTCTGATTGCAATGAAGGTTTTAAGGTGGTAAGTAACATTGAGTGTTAAAACTCTTGTCAGTTGCCTTGTAGAGGATGATTTCAGTTTTGAGTAATTCTAGACATGTTGCCCTATAGGTCTAGCTGCTCGTGAGAATAGGCCTGCCAACCTGGGGGTTTCTGGCTGTCTCCCAGCAGCTCCCCCGTTTAAGCCAGCCTATTATTAACGAATTCCTACATCCAAGGGGACGGCCTTTGGTGTGAAAGCCTCAGGCCTCCTGTCACACGCACCTCTTGGAGGTTTAGACAAGCAAGCGCGACCTGAGCTCAGGAGACTGGGCTTTGGGGTGGTCTGCACGCCTTCCTGGGGCTTTCCTGCTAGAGCCTTGGAGATGGACGTTAAGGGAGGGAGGGGCATGTTTCTGTTGCCCTGAGGACCCTCGGAGAGGAGCGGCCTGGGGTGAAAATGGGGAGAGACCACTTCCCCACCCCTACCCTGGGTGAGCGTCTACGCGTGTTCTGGCAGCGTTTCTGCACAGGTGCCCCTTGGAGTCTCCCCCCCGCAGAGCCGTCAGTGGCGAGTGAGCCAGGACTAGGGCCCAGCGCTGGGTTCGGAAGCAGCCCCGCCACGCTGGGACTCTGGAGTCCTGGGCGGTGCTGGAGCGTTGGTGCTCTGAGTGAGGGGGGATCTCTCTGCCTTCAGGGAGTGTGCGTGGCCTCATGCCAGGTTTTCCCAGTTCCCTCTGGGGGAGCTGTTCCTGGTAGCTCTCCAGCAGCCCTGTGTGAGCGCCGGGTTGTGTTCATTCCTGCACTGGAATGGTCAGATTTCCATGAAGCCAGAGGAAAGTAGACCTGCTGTAAAATAAGCGTTGCTTTACTGTGCTTGTTGGTCAGTAATTTGTTGCATCACTGAAGTATCTCATAAAAAAAGTTCCTCACATAAAGCAAATCAGTGATTTTTCTTACCTTGAGATTTCCCAGATGCCATTTGAAGGAATGTTTTCTGATCCCAGTACGTTCAGTTTCTTCAACGTAATTAAACTGGGGCCGGACTCTCCCAACACCTGAACTCTTGCTCTCTTTTCTAGGGAAATCCTCACTGACGATTCAGTTTGTTGAAGGCCAATTCGTTGACTCCTACGACCCAACCATAGAAAACAGTAAGTATCCTCTCCCAGGATTTGTGGGCTGGAAGCCGCCTTTTCATGCAGGTGACCATCCTGTGCGCCTGCAGACTGATTGCAGGGAAACTGGCTAAACCTTTAGATCTCCACGGGAGCCAAAAAACCCTCCCAAGCCAGTTTCTACTGAATGGTTTTTCTCTCCAGTGTCCAGATCCTGCCCTGGAGAGATCACACCCGGTTCCAAAGCAGCTCTGGTGGTGCCTCAGGTTCCAGCTGCAGGAAGGCAGGCAGGGGGAGCAGTCTGCCTCCACCTCTTCTCCACAGTGGCCCTTTTTAGGCTCCCCAAGCTAGAAGAGAATGGATGTAAACTCGCCACCTCCTTTGGGGCTTGCTCTTGTAGAAGCACCAGCCCTCCCCTCCCCCTTTCTAAAGACCTGAAGGGAGCCTGTGGAGAAATGAGCTATTCTGGGATAGGAGGGAGCAGTTGCTGCCTTAAAAATAAAGTTGGCTCCTTAGCCTTTGGCATTTCGAGCCCTGTGCAGGGGCCAGCACTGAAGCCAGAACCAGTAATCACAGCCTTTACCTGTGGCTCAGATTCTTCCTTAAAGGATTCTGGGACCATGAGGCAAGATTCCAGGACTCCCAGAGGAGCGTCCGAGACTCTTCCCTTGGGGGCGCTGGTCTTGCCCAGGCTCTCAGACCTGCAGTGGCCTAGAGCCAGCCCTTCACATGCCTACCGCCAGCGCTCACTGTGGCTCCGGGGCCAGGAACACACCAATGTAAACACGTGACACCCCAGCCTGATGGGCATGTTGTATTAGACTTGAAGACGACACATGCCTCAAGCTCGGTGGCTCCATTTGTAGCCCTCACCTACCCAGAGCTTGCCAGGGAGAGGCTTAAGGGAGGGTCACGACTGGGGTGGACACACTAGGGCCCGCAGGCCCAAAAGACCCACTGCCTCTTGGTAGGGCCCATGAGCTCTTTGTGGTTTGTGCCTTGTGGCTGTCAGAAGGAGAAGGAGGTTTGTGACTCGTAAAATGGACCTGAAATTCACATTTCCGCATCCATAAGGAAAATGTCGCTGGAAGGCAGTGGCGCCACTCCCTTCAGGTTACCTCGGCCGCCCCCGCTCCACAGAAGCAGAGTTGCTGAACAGTGACAACAGATGCCGTGTGGCCCACAAAGCCCAAAATAGTTACTCTCCGGCCCTTTACAGGAAAAGCGTGCTGACCTCTGGCTTAAAATACTCGCTGTCCTTTGTGTCTCCGGGTGCGGGTCGCAGGGGAGGAAGCCTGTTGGCTGTTAACTGGCTCTGGGCAGGCCTGAGTTGGAGAGTAACCTTGGCGTATCTGGAAGAGGCATCCTGACCTCCTCCCTGTGGGTCTGTAGAACAGCAGCCTGTGGGGTGTGGGGCGGGCTGGTTTGAATGCAACCACATTCGGTGATCTCCCCACTGGAGGAAGAACAGAGGAAAACAGCTACCTTGGCTTTAATGTTTGCCCTCGGCAGCAATTTAGGGCTTCCTGTCCTTACAGCGATAAAGAATGTATTCATAGCAGGCTAGGAAATCGTTTTCACAATGAACTCTGCCCCAAAAATTGTGTGCCTTTGTGCCATTTCAAATTTATTGGAAAGAAAGTCCTGGAGTCTCTAGAGCACGTTTTCTCACTGAAAGCCTGCTACCTCGATCCTGTCTCTGAAGTAGAATTCAACCCTACCTTCAAGGCTGTCAGCATCGTCTTTAATCTGTTTTTAATGTTTTCTCAAAAATGAGTTCAAAATACTTACCAAAAGTCTTTAGGCAAGGGCAGCAATGAATATTAAATACATGAACCCCTTACAAACCGGTGAACCGTATTCAGACATCAAATTCTGTGTGCAGTGACAGTCTAACCCCGGGCAGAACTCTGCTCCCCCCACCGGAGCAGGGACCCCTGTTCAGCAGGGGAGGGAGTAAGAGAGGGAATGGTTGGCTAAACCTGTTGCTAGTGGTGTAAATGCATGGATGGTTTTGTGGATTTAGAAAACACAGGCCTCTGTAGATAATCCAGCTGTTATTTTATACTTTGTAATACAGCACAAGGGTTCATAGCAAACACTCAGTGGCAACACATTTCTATGAAGTATCACTACAAAAGCAGAGCTTTGGGACGGAGTCATCTTTGAAAATGGAGCCTTGGGGGATGACCTGGCTAAAGCTGCACAGTTTCTAGTTTGGGAAAATTTTGACACCAAAAACCTCCTTATGTGAATTCCTTTAGTAGATACTGTAGTCTAAGAATTTACTACAAATTTAATTGAGTTGAGGAAATTTAACTAGTGGTAGATTATAATTTAAAGGCAGAGGACAGCGGTGTGCAGCTTCGGCCATCTCAAGGTGAGACCGTTGGTGGACTAATAAAGCTCCTCTTGGAAATTGGAGATTCGAGTATTAAGAGTTTTGCAGCACCAGCCAGTGCCTCGTGGCGGTGGCCTTCTCAGGGAGAGGTGACCAAAGTTCCCAGCACACTTTAGGCACACACAGCTCACTTTGTGGGTAACACATTTTAGAAATCTGTGTGAACCGTGCTTCGTGGTGGAATTCACTAGCAAGCAGCTATTACGTAGGGCGATTTCAGGGTTTTGGGTTGGATGTTGGATTGATTTCTGCAGTGACTGAAAAAGGGTTGGGGGAGAGAAGGGGCAGAGAAAACTTCCCATTCTACAAGGTTGGAAGCAGCGGGCAGGTGGAGAAGAATTTGCTCCCCGTCTGGGACCTGACGGTCAGCTCTTGTCACACTCCCCTCTTTCCTGCGTTGACGCGGCTTCCATCGCAGATGGAGGGTCTTTCACTTCATCGTACAGCTCAGTGTGGGAAGACTCACACCCGTTTTCTGTGCAAAGATGTGCTAATAAGCTTTTTGTTAATATTGTATTTCTTTCCCATCTGGAACAGCTGGATGATCTCCCGCTACCCTGCCCTCGTGGCTAGTTCTCCCGGTCTCCTGGGCTGAACCTTCTCCCTTTCCCGACCAGGCGTGCAGGGCGCCTGGGCCTCCGGCTCGTCAGCGCTGTGCTTTGCACTGGCTCTGGTGAGCGGCCCCAGCCTCTCCCTGCACTCTGGGCTTTGCTCTTTCACTGCCCTGTTGCCCCTCTGGTGTAGGCTCCCCAGACCTGACAGACCTAAACCAGCTCTGAAACACCTTCCTCTCCCATCCGCAAGACCCTTCCCCCCAGGCTTTCCCTGGGTTGCTAAAAGGCGACCCTGCTTCTACCTGCTCAGACCAGATAGGCTCTCGGGAGTCCTCCCAGCTCTGAATTCTCTCACACGTCCCGCCATTAGCCAAAACATGCTCTGGCATCTAGCTCAGAAGTCCACCCCGCATCCCACATTCTCACCCTCCGTCTCTACCCGCTAGTCTGTGCAGCCACCCTCTTTCAGATCGTGCTAGTCTGTGTAGCCACTGCCCGTGGGCTCCCACCCGTCACCTTTGTCATCCTTTCAAAGTACAGATGAGGTCAGGTCCTTCCCTGCTCAAAACCTTTTGCTTCCCATCCCATTTAGAAGAAAAATGCAAGGTTTTTACCACATCTTCTAAGGCCTCCTGCCTCCTCCCCGTCTCTCTGCCTCCACTGCATTGATGCTGCTTCTCCTCAGCTCCTGCCCTTGCTGTCTCACCACTGCCTGATGCTTCTCCCGGACAGCATGCCTGGCAGTGTGCGTCTGTCCGTCAGTCAGCCCCTCCCCACTGCCTTCACAGGGATGCAGAGCTCTGAGGTCTGGGACTGCAGTCTCTCTTGCACCCAGATAGTGCTAGTGGTGAGATGGGCACGCGTGAAAAATTGTGAACGAATGAGTGAACGAATGAATGGTGTTTTGTTTCAGTATTCTTTTCATGACAGTTGCACCACGCTCCACAGCCACAATTACTGGGTTCCAAGGGAAGGGTGCATGTTTACCTGCTCACTGGTATTTCTTAAATGATTTTCCTTGAACCTCAAATGCACATTTTGATAATACCTAAGGTGTCAAGAGCAGGTTTTCACACAGGACCGTCATGGCTGCCCCCTGGCTGATAGTGATGGAAAGCCCGGCTCGCGCCAGGTGATCCCAAGCTCAGAGCGGTGACATGGGGGGAGGCATGACACACAGTAGCATTATTTCTTGGAGCTGCTGAAGCAGATTATACCCTGATCTTGAATTACTCAAGTCATTTTTCATCTGGTTTGGTATTTCCTTATAGTGACCATATCCAGAAAGGACACAGGATGATCTCGTATGGCAGTTGGCCTGAGTGCCCTGCTTTGTCATTTTCACTCATCTGATTCTGTCACCTCCTTTCAAGAGTCTGATGCTAGTCTGAAAATTACTGCTTTTCTCTCCCCGTGGAACACACCCTTCAGATGAGCCCATCCTCTTTGTCACCTCCAGTTTGCTCATTTTCATCTCTCTGGTTTTGCGTTCTGGTTTGGCTGTGAGAGGGTGGGCCAAGTGTGTGCTCCCTTGTCTGTGCAAGGGGTTGATTCTGCTGCCCAGCTCTTATCAAATCGAACAGCCAGCCAAGAGACTGGACTTGTCACGAGTCAAGATGGCTGGACCGGATATGCCAAGAAATCTGTCCCATTTAGTTGTCAGGGTTCCAGATGGTTACTTTTTAATGTTCTGTTACTATCAATAGTTCTTTCCTCTTTTGTCTATATTTGTTCGAAATCTGTCTCCTTAGAATTCTAAATTGACTTTTCCGGAAGTTATTTGAGTCAGATTTTTTCCCCTCGGTAGGGAAAAGACATGGTGACAAATTGCTTAAAGTAAGTGGGAACGATGGCTTCACACACAACATCTGCCCTTCTGCTGCTTATCTGTCAGAGAGACTGCCGGCTTCTCTGCATGCTGGAAGTCCTCAGCTCTTCAATTCAGTACGCTCGTTGCGCTCTGACACCAGACTGCCTGTAAATTAATGAAAATTTTTGTGCTTTTGCTTCACCCTAACTTCAAACTTTATGTAATAGATTTCGCTTTTTCACAAGGAAGGACCGCACAGAGGGAGAGAGTGTTTAAACTTCTGTAGGCGTGGTGGTGGTGCCCAGTTTCGGCTTCTTTGAGAAAGATTTGGGCTTTACTCCAACTTGATTTTGGTCCATCAGCCAGTACTTCTAGATAATGGAAGTGAAAAGAACCTGTCGGCTCAGAGCTTTGGCCTTTGTTCTGTGAGGGGCTCCGTGTGAGGTGGTTAAGGCCTCTCTCTAACTCGGTTGTCATTGTTCAAATTTTTAAGTAATTGAAAGGTTTTTTTTTTTTTGTTTTTTTTTTTTTTTTTTTTTTGTTTTTTTTGTTTTTTTACTAATATTAATTTTCTTTGGTCCTTTAGCTTTTACAAAATTGATCACCGTGAATGGACAAGACTATCATCTTCAACTTGTAGATACAGCTGGGCAAGTAAGTATCTCTTGACTCAGGATCTCAGAGTATCGGACAGCCTGGGCCTGGCCTTGCACGCGGGGGCGGCGCCAGGGAAGCCTGGTGACGGTGTGTGGCCGAGTGCTAACAGGCTGTCTGCTTCGTCTTCTAAAGACATTTATGGCAGTTTTCAAATAACTGACTTTTGTTTCAACTTTAGAATTTTAGATATATTTGTAACATTGTGGGGCCTTACTTTTTTACAGGATGGTAGCTTTCTATTTTCTAAGCTTTAATTCTGTGTTAGAGAGCCATGTGAGTGCTGTTCCCCCCCTTTGTAGTAAGTATTCTCTTGTGTTAAGAACGGAAGCAGATCTTTTCAGGAGGAAAAGTGAGGAAAGGATGCAGGGCAGACCCTGTGGGTTTGTGGCTGTGCGTGGACAGCTAGCTCAGGGAGCAGCAGCCTCTGCTCACCAGTCACTGTCAGAGGTTATGTGACCCAAGGAAAGCTCTTCGTGGGTTAATGTGTTGGTAACAGGGGGCCTGCATCACCAGGGAACTGGACTGAAAGCCGTGGGTGAAAGAAATTAGGAGGACTTGAAGGAAATAAAGGAAACCCTTTTTACAGCTTAACTTCCCCATTACCATGGCACCCGGTCCGGCCTCTGCCAGAAACCATTCTGTTGGGCTGAATTTATTGCAGCTCACTGGAGGGTGGGGAGGGTAGAGATGCTCCTCACCTGGCTTCTTTTTTTTTTTTTTTTTTTTTTAGATTGATTTATTTATGCATATAAGAGCTGGGGTACAGGCCAGAGATGCGGGGGGTGAGACAATTCACCAGAGACAGAGTGGGGAACAGAACAGGCAGACTGACTGAAACACACTGCTGAGGGGAGCAGCGGGCAAGCCAGGAGAGGTCTGCGGCACCATGTGGGTTTCTTCCCGGCAGGCCGGGGATGGAACTCATGCTGCAGAGGCAGCTGATTGCTTCATAGTGAGGTGCTTAACCCCTTGCGCCACCAGGGAGGCCTTCACCTTGCTTCTTATAAAGGGCAAAGGTATGGCATGACTGGTCTGCCAAGTTGGATGGAGACTTCTTCCGGAACTTGGGGAGGCTGGGGTAGACCCGGAGCTCTGTGGCCTGTCCTCTGGGTTTGCCGTGAACCCTTGGTGCTTTGTTTTGAAGTGAATGTAGACATGTAACCTTCTAAGGAAGCAAGGAAATGGCTCTGTAGAGTGTTTTAACACAGGAGAAACCCTGAAGTTTCAATTCTAGAAGATTTAAATAGAATACATCAAAGGTGCAGGTGACAGAAGTGACATGTGACCATCCACACCACACTCCCCATCTGGTGGTGCCTGTAACATGCCTTTGCCACCAGGCACATTGGCCTTGCCAGAGTTGGAGTGGAGTTTTTTGGCATGCGGGGAGCATGGGCACCTTGGGAGGGGCCGCACAGGTGACCTTGCAGGTTATCCGCTTATCTTAGAAGTGAACATAGCGCACCTCCGGGCAGGGTATGGGTGGGTTCTGAGGTTTGTGTCTTGTCAAGGCAGCAGTGTGTTTTATTGCCTGAACCAGGCACCCTTCAGGGTGGGAGTGGGGGGGCACCAGTGACAGTGATGCTGAGGCAGCAGGTGTAAACCAAGAGTGTCCTGGCTAGACACCTGGCCACGCCATTGTAAGTGGGGCCCTCATCAAGATTCGGGTGTCTTTGCTGCCTTTGGTTTAAATTCATTAAAGTCATGGAAAATGGGGGTGGGGCTGCTCGTTGATAAATGGACTCCAAGTAAAGTTACTGGGCCTCCCTGGTGGCGCAGTGGTTGAGCACTGGGCTACGAAGCTGCCCGCAGCCTCTACAGCACTGGTTAGATCCCGGCCGCCAGCGAGGGTCCCACATGGTGCGCAGACCTCTCCTGCCACCCGCTGCTCCCCTCAGCAGTGTACTTCGTCGGTCTGCCTGTTCTGCTCCCCGCTCTGGCTCTGGTGAATTCTCTCACCCTCCCGTGCTTCTGACTGTACCCAGTGCTTGTATAAATAAATAAATAAATCTTTTTTTTTTTTTTTTAAAGTAAAGTTACTATAGAAACGCCTCTTCTAGCAGACTTGGGGGGGGGTGGGGACACACACCAGTATTTCTCAGCTGCCTGGAGTGTGCGCTCTGCAGTCTCACTGACTTTGGATCCTGATTTCCTCTAACCCAGTGACCTCCAGGAAGCGCGGGCGCCTTCTGCGCTCCAGAACCCTGGCGGCGCCCGCCTTCACAGGGCTGTTACATGATTTCGAGTAGACTTAGGAGCTTAAAGAGGGGGTCAGGGGGTCTGTGGAAGGAACGGGTGTTTGTGTCCTCTCCCCTTGTCAGGACGGAAAGCGCTTCTCTGGGCTGCCGTTTGCTTCAGGCGTGCTTGCGTGAGTGTTCAGCCCTTGCGAGGACAGAGTGCTACCGGGAAGGACACCTAAGGCCGGTCCTCAGCCTGGGGCTGCGGGAGAGATGGCAAGGGCGCGCTCCGTGACTGCTCTGCCTCTCCGCCCTTTGGGGCCCGTTACTGTTGGAGAAGAATATTGGGAGAATCTCGCCCAAAATGGATTCAAATGTAGCTACTTTGAGTAATTTGTTGTCGTCACAGCCAATGGTTCTTAAACGCTCTAGCGAGGTGAGGGCCGCGCTGGCGCTTCCAGCCGTGCGGGGCGGCTCAGGCGGCCCGTCTGCCACGGGGCCGGTCGTGCGGACGCTGGATGGGGCCGCTGCAGTGCCCTGCTCCCGGGGCTGTTTCCAAATCCGATTCCCGTGGACAGGTTGTGGGGTTCGGACTGCGGGTGGGAGGGGAAGCGCGAATTCCGAATGCTCGCGTGGCCCGGCTCGGGAAGGCGGTGAACGTCATGACGTCCAAGTTGTTTCCAGCAGTTTGCCTGCGGTTTTTGTTTTGGCTTCATTTAAATAGACTCGATGACAGTGAGTGGGTGACAGCAGTTTTTATGTCAAATTCCCCTTTAATAGAAAAACAAGTATTAGGTTTCTTTTACAAAAAAAAATGGTAATACATGCACGTTACAGACATACAATAGCATCAAGGGTTGGTAAGTTTACGTTAAACTTGAGTCTTTTTTCAGCCCGCCCTCCGAGCCTCTGTTACTGGTTTCTAGTAGGTGCTTCCAAGTCCCTAAGTGTGCAAGTACAGATTGGAGTTACTCTTTTTTTTTTTTTTTTTTTTAAACACAAAAGCAACATAACATTATTCTGTGTTGGAGATTATCCTGCTTTCTGCCCAAGGCTCATCCCCGCACGCAGGTGTGTCAGAGAGGTGGCGCGTGTCAGGACGGGCCAAGTGTGCATTGCCAGTCGCAGCTTCGTTCCTGCCAGCAGTAAATAGAAAACGAATCTCTCTGTAATTTGAAGAAGTATTTTTCTTGTCGGGAAGGAGTTTGGTCGTTAGGGGACATTCGTATCTCCTCATCTGAATTCTCCGCCTGACCATGTGCTTTGCCCTTTTCCGATCAGCTGCTGGGTCTCTGCTTGCTGGTGTGAGAGGCTCCTTTCATGAGTGAAGACAGGCAGCACCTGGCGCGCCATCTGAACTGCCAGATTTTTGTTTTCAGTTTGCCTTTTGCTTATGGGTTTCATTTGAAAGCTTTTTTCATTTTCACGTTGCTGAATTGGCTAATCTTTTCCCTGATATCATTGTTTAAAACATCCCCCGTCTACTCTGCACATGGTTCCAGTTCTCACCCTGAAATCTCTGGTTCCTCCGGAGCACATTTCTGCTGAGGAGTGACTTAACGCCCACTGAGCTCACCGCCCGGGTGGCGCGCACCTGTTCCTGCCAGTCTCGTTGAGGGTGCCCTTGGCCCTGCTGGCTGAGATGCTGTGTGACCGTGCGCCCCTTCCCAAGTCTGAGCACATCTGCGTAGACGGTCCAGTCTGCTCAGCTCCCGCGCTGTTTGTCTCCCACCCTCTGCCGCTCGGCTGCCGCCCACGGCCCCACATTCAGACCGGCCTGGGCGGCACCGCATTCCCGCTGGAGGCAGCAGTGGGGCGCCCTGTGCCTGGATATTCTGCCAAGGGACACAGCACCTTGTTCCCATTAAGTCTTTTCTCTCTAGAGTATTTTAAGGTTTTCTTCGGAAAAAATGTACTCTTTCATTTTCTTAATATCCCTAGGAATTTTGTCCCTTTGGGTTGCTGTTACAGCTGGGAGCTCCACGGTAGCTTTTTTCTGCACCCTGCTTTTTGACTATGATTACTCTTTTCTTTCATTCCACGTCTTCCTCTCAGGGCAGAGATAACTTGAACTTTGCTTTACTTTAACTGAGCTGGTGACTCAGATCGTGTGGGATTTTGTTTTCATCTGGGTGAAAAGATTTATCATTCCGGTCACCAAAATTTGTTTTCAGAAATCAATACTAAAATGAATTCAACTTAATGAGAATTTTGCTGATAATGAAAGTAAAGATTTAGCATGTATCGTGAGCACCATGATGCAGAAATGCTGTTATAGTCGTGCTTGTAATTCTGATTAATGGTTCTAATTTATGATACCAGAGAATTGATAGTAAAGCTTTATTTTTTCAAGGACACTTTCTTGTGGTAAGTAGTAATAATTCAGGATCGCTGTGAACATAAAGTGCTATAGAATTACAAAGTTAGCAAAGCCAGCTACTTGATAGAACGGTGACTTGATGTGATTTCTCTATACTAGTGCTTTGCACTAGTGTGTGATATATTGACAATTATATTTAAGCCAAGAACGAAATGTTTGTATCAGACTGTGTCATGTGCTGATGAAAACGGCAATGACATTAGGTCCTTCGTATGCTTTAGAATTCTGTGTCTAAAGCAGTTTTGTAAAGCATTTTAAAACTGGGCGCTAGGACACTGTTACTGCCTGTGTCTGCAAGTCCTGGACTTGCTCAAAAAATGGTCCACCTGATCTCAAAGGGCTGATGTTTGATTCTCCTCCTCCTCCTGGCCTCTCGCCTGCTGGCGGAGCCCGGACGACGGCAGGTGGGTGCTCAGGCCACTGTGCTGCGCACAGAGCGTGGGTCCGGGTAGCAATTTCAGTACGAAAATCCATATTTATGGAACTAACCAGCAGTGCTTGTCATTTCCTATGAGGTCTGAGAGATTCTGGCCTTTTCATCCCCAAAATTGAAGAGCAGTGGCTCTTCCCCTTGGTGACGCGGCCTCTCTGCACCCTCCTCTCTCCAGAGTGCGCAGCTCAGAGCCTGCCCTGCAGTCTTAGAGAGGCCACACTCGTTTTCCGTATTGACCTAAGCAGATTCACTTTAAGCAGATTCGTGTGTGGTTATGTTCGTAGAGTAATGTGGGGTTTGATTTCTCTGACCAGGTTAATACAGAAAAACCAGGACAGGTTGCATGTAACGTTACGCTGTGGGAGGACTTGACTTAAATGTAATTTCTTTTCATTCCACAGGATGAATATTCCATCTTTCCTCAGACGTACTCCATAGACATTAATGGTTATATTCTTGTGTATTCTGTTACATCAACCAAAAGGTAAGACTCACCCTGCTGCTTGAGTTGCTCTAGGAAGATAGTATTAATCCTCTGAAGAGTGTCCTGCAATTTGCTGTGGTTACAGTTAGGCTTAATTTTTAGGGTAAATGTTTTGCAGTGATTATCTTGTGGAACAGACAGGTTGCTGTGGGGAAAGCTTACCCAGATAAGTGTGCTCTTGCACCCACGGAATAAAAACTGTATGTTTACCTCAAGCTAGAGAGATAATTGAACACAATCTGAGTTTTTTTTGTTAATTGAAATGGTTAATTGACCTTTTGTGTTTCCATTATATTAATGGAAATAGACCTTCCCATATAATCTGGGGGTTTCAATTTGTTAAATATTTTATCCTTTGAATTTATGCAATAAAATCTTTGAGTAATAAGATCACTTTACTATGTAACAGTGGGTTGTGAATGGCTCCTCTGGACACACATTTCACACCTCCGCCTCCTGTTGGGGGCGCCCTGTGTTGTGGAGGAGGGGGCTGTGGCTGTGAGCAGCACAGAGCTGAGCAGAGCCAGTGGAGGGAGTTTGGATGCCGAGGACCTGCTGCTGAGCGTCTGGGACAGTGGGAGTGGGGAGTTGGGTATGTGAGACCACCCATGGTTTCGCTTCATTGTTGCCTGAGAGAGTTACCTCTTCCTACAGGAGGAAACTGAGTGACAGGGATGCAAAGTGCTTGCCCGAGGTTGCTTAGTGCCCGCCATTGCGGTGGGACTCTGCGTCTGCGCTACCCTCTGCCAGCCGCTAGCCACATTTCAGGTGCTCGGGGGCCACCGGCGGCCGCCATGTTGGGCAGCGCAGGCCTGGACTCCTCGCCGCTGCGCGCGCGACTTCATGGGAAGAGTGCCGCCCGCTGCCCTCCGAATGTGCCAAGTAACCCTTTTCTCCACCTTGAGTTTCAGAGAAACAATTCTACCTCGTATTTCAAAAGTTCAGAACTTAAATTATGAGTTTGTGATCCGTGTGACTGGCATAACAGGATTGGCAAGCAATGAGATGGGCGCTCTGCAAGCACTTTCCGCAGCGGGACGTCTCCCCCGCCACACGGCACAGCCAGCCACCGCGTGTCAGTCCTCAGCGGCAGCCCCGGTTAGAAGTGTTGGCACAGCACGCACAAACACGTGTCGCCCGTACCGGATGCCTTTCCTGTGTGTGAACTATTTCAACTTTTTGAAAATGCTGCCTGTAACCCACTAAATTGAGAACACATCTTAGTACTGGCTTGGGACCGCAGTTTGAAATTCAGCCTGTTGTTATCCCAGCAAATCATCGGGTTCTAAACCCGTTAGAATTCTGTTGTCAGAATAAAGTGGATTTCTAGAACCTTGGGGAGAGTGGACCTTGAACACCTTCCAGGCTGGCTTTGCGCACTTCCGTCCACTCTGAGTTGCTCTTTGCTCTTTCACATAATCTCTGTCCTTTCTTAGACATTGCCCTCCTGCCATTCAGCCGCCGCGCCTGCTGCAGTCTGTCGGCCCTGTGTGGAACTGGTGCTGCTTTGGTTTTATTTGACAAAAATGATGTTTGAAGACAACAAAAGTACAGATATTTGCTTTCCTTTCAAGTAAAAGTCTGTAACAAATCAGCCCCAAATTTAGCAGCTTAAAACCTCATTCATTTATTATTTCAGCTTTACTAGTTCAGCAGCCTGGGCGTGGCTTAAGCTTCAGGGTCTCTCTGAGCAAAGTGGGGTGTCTGCCTGGGCTGTTGTCAGCACCTGGCTCCATGAGAGTTCTTGGACCGAGGGCTCCAGGTCTTTGCTGGCTGTTGGCCTGAGGCTGCCTGTGGCTCATTGCCAGGTGACCCTCCATCAGAGCGGTCACGGGAAAGCCACCGAATTTCCAGCACGATTGGTGCCAGGTCTTTTACAACCTCATCTCGGAATGACATTTGATTATCGCTATTGCCGTAGTGTACTCACTAGAAGCCAGTCACTAGGCCCAGCCTTCCCTCTGGGCATTTCCACGGGCTGTGCATCCAGAAGGGCGGGGTCTTCACTGCAACCCACGCAGCCTCAGCTCTTGCCATGACTACTTGCCGCTTCTTCACTGTCCGCCCTCCCCAGCACTCACACACTTTTCAATGTTGGAGATGCAGCACATGCTGAGAGACTGGTTCCAGAACGCAGCCTCGGGTGTTCACAGCACCCAGGTCCTGTTGTTGGCTTGCTGTGACTGCTGTGACACGTGCCTTCAGGTCCAGTGGCAGGCGGTGGTTTCAGATGCCTTCATAGGGCCTTAGTCAGTCAGCTCCAGGAGTTTGGATACAACAGTGAATGCACATCGTGGAGCTGGTATTGCTTAGTTGAGGGTATGAGCAGGAAATTCAGCGGCGAAGGCTGAGAGCGTGGGTCTGGGGCGGTGCTGATGAGCAGCACAAGGCAGGGAGGGAACTGAAACATAGAGGGAATCTGCGAATCATATGGATGAGCTGAAAAGACTAAACTGTGACATTTGCATAAAGATTTGGAAAAAAGTGAGGAAGCAGGTTATAGTGCGATCTGGAGAAAGAACATTCCAGGCATAAGGAAGGTGACTGCAGAGGTTCTGGCCGGAGCATGCTTGCCGAGAGAGGAACAGCAAGAGGCCTGTGCTGCTTTGTGCAGAATGAATGGCGGCAGTAGTAGTGGACACAGGGTCAGAGGTGGGGCCGTGACCAGTCGGGAGCGGGTGGACCATCTGTTGCCTCAATAGGTCCCTGTGCTGAGAAGAAAAGGAGGGTTGTGCTGATGCGCTCTGTGGGGAGGCCCAGACCTGGGGGGCACAGTCGAGTGGCAGCTAGGCCCATCCTGGGCCTGGCACCCATGTGACCACAGGTTCTCTGACTGGGGGTGGCATGTGGCCATTTGGCAGCTGGTGAGTGATCACACCATCCTGCTGTGGCCGATTTCAAGTCGACTGTGACCTCACTGAATGCCAAGCTGGGCGTGAGAAAGAGCGCCGGCTCACGGTGAGCCAGCCCCAGCCGAGGCGCTGGGGTCAGGACGCCACCCGAGGGGTGCACCTGGAAAGACGGGCAACAGGCCCCGCTGTGGGAGCCCCCGAGCTCATAGAGTCTACGGGTGTTTACTCAGCGGCTGATGGAGGTTTGGTGTGGCTCCTCACCCCCTCCGGCTGCCCCAGCTCGCGCGCGCCCACTTCGCGTTGAGCGTCCCGGTGGGGCTCCTGCGCCTCTCACGTGCCCCTGCGCAGAGGTGGTTGGGGACGGCGCGGGCCTTGCTGGTGTTCGGGTTATTGCGCGTAGACATGGTGCGTCTGTGACCGTTTCTGCCTTCCCCTGTAAACGTCACTGACAGGCTGAAACACGTCAGCACTCAAGTGGACGTCTGACTGTACACTTTCTGTTTTGTAGTTTTGAAGTGATTAAAGTTATCCACGGCAAGTTGCTGGATATGGTGGGGAAAGTCCAGTAAGTAGTGATTTCATCTCTTTCCTTAGCTACACTCAGGGTAGCAGAGCCGGGCGGTGACCTCTGGCGCGGACCCCTTGACGTGGGCCTTTTGTTCTTACCCTTGCAGAATACCCATCATGCTGGTCGGGAATAAGAAGGACCTGCATATGGAAAGGTACGTGACTTGTAAATAATGACGGGTTTATTCCATCGGGTCCAAGGTGGTGATCCCTGAAGTTCCGTTGTGGCTGCTGCCGTCGCGGCGAGCGTGGTGGGCCCGGCCAGCCTGTGGCCGCCGGAGCAGGAGCCACTGCGCCCGCCTCCCCGCCCTAAAAGGCGTTTCTCTAGAAAAGAGCAATCGTGGAAAAGTGTCTGATCTGCTCTTCTGTGCGGTCTGTAAAGAGACCGTGGCAGCACTCCGTTCCTCCCACAGGCGTGTCCCAGCATGGGGGGGTGAGGACGAGGGATGCGCCGGGCGAGGACGCCGGCCAGTACCACCGCCTGCGCGCAGCAGAATGCCTGTCCCTGGGTGCTGACCCCGGGCTGCATCACGGTCTGTCGTGGCAGGTCATGGAGACCCGGAAGCTGCCACCGCGGGCTCTGGACCGTGGGCCTTCCAGGAGCTTGGGTGGCTCCCAAGGCCACACCCATTCTGTCCCCCAGCCCAAGCGTCGCTCCGCGCTCGGTGCGGTGCTGAGCAGAGCGAGCTTGTCATCCATACGGGAAAATGGGTGGCGCGGAGCCTGCTTGGTGAGCCGCTTGCAGGTGCTGCGTGCCGCGGACAGGAAAGCACGAATTTAATTAGATTTTCCTTTTCCTTTAGGGTGGTGAGCTACGAGGAGGGGAAGGCCTTAGCAGAGTCTTGGAATGCAGCTTTTTTGGAATCTTCTGCTAAAGAAAATCAGGTGCGTATCTTAAACTCCTGCCGCCGTTTCTGATGGCATCTTGAGGTTGCTTTCTGAGGCAGGTGCTGTGTTTTAATTCAGTCAGCGCCTCGCTTAGGTGGGACCTGGGTGTTGTCCACAGGAGAACAGGAGTGAGTAGGGAAGGGAATTCTACCTTTGGGAGCAGACGTTATTCCTACTTGTGTTTCATAGGAAAGGCTGGTACAGAAGTAAGTCCAGACAGAGAAAAGGAAGGAGACCTTAAATTAACACTTCGGCAACAGCGTTGTTCCCGGACCACCCCCCTGGCGCTCTGAGGTGCAGGGAGAACCTGCGGTCGTGCTCTGCTGTCCTTAACAGACACGCACCTCAGTGGGGAGGCCCCGCGCAGCCCCCTCCTCCTCTTCCTTCCTACCTTTAACGTAGACCTGCAGGCCCACGCCTGTCGCTGACTGTTTCTGGCACTGCCAACCCGATGACGTCGCCCTGACTCAGAGACTGCCCGCGCGGCCCATTGTCTGTGGAGCGGGGCGCAGCGCCGTTAGCGGGGCCGTGACCCGAGGGCTGGCCTGGTCCGCTCTCCTCCGGCTCCCTCTCGTTGCTGCCCCACTCCGCAGTCACGTGGGCACCGGCTGGCCTTTGCCGCTGCAGTGTCCCTTCTCTGACCTCTTGCATTTGTGACGCCTTTTACAGTTTCATAGAGTGTTTTCCACCTGCCACCTTGTTTGACCCTCCCCTAAGACTAACTGGTTTTCATTTCTGCGAGGAGACTGCAGGCTGGTCCTGGCTGAGAGGCGCTCGCAGAACTGCCTGGCGCCCTTCCCTCCCAGCCCAGCGCTTGGCCCCTTAGTGGGACCCCCAGCTCTTGAGGTCCTGCGTCAAGTTCCCCTTCTTACTAGTTCCTTCTCTCCCGCCCCTTTAACGCTCTGTGACCTTCCCAGTGTCTTTGGCCCAGTGCTTCTGTCAGCCGGGCGTCCCTTGGGGGCCGCCTGCTCGTCCCCGTGTTCAGACAAGGAGTGTTCGATCCATGTGCTTGCCCCACCCCCCAATCACAAGAGCAGATAGTGAGAATTGGGGTGACAAGCGTTGGGATGGGAGAGGTGCCAATAGTTTGTTAAATTAAATCAAATATCTATTGGGTGCCACGGTCTGTCCTGAAGATCAACCTCATTTTAGACAAATCAAAGGTGCAGAGAGGAAAATGACTTCTCTGAGCTCACTCTGCTTTATGTGGGAGGGGCACTTGGACTAATTTTAAATCTAAAATCCAAAGTTTAAAGTTAAAATCCAAAATGGCAGTCCTCTCTCCCCTGTGCCACGCTTTCTGGTGGTGAGGAGAGGGACCTCCTGGGCCCAGAGTGTGGGGAGGGACACAGACTCTTCTCGGTAAAAGGCCTTGTTGTGTGGGGAGACTGGAGTCTGTTCTGGATGTATCGGGGATGGAGCTGCCGCGCTCGGGTGCAGCCCTGGTGCTGGCGCTCTGCGGAGCCGGGACTCCTGCACGGTGTCCACGCCCTGCTGTCAGCGGGGCACGTTGAATCTGCTTGTGGGCCAGATGGCTGGTGTGTGGTTCTTCCTGTTTTGTCCATGTACCTAGAAATTTGTATTATAGAAACTTCCAGGTGGTCTCAAAGGCATAGACTTCCGTTTGTAAAATGAGGAAGTACTGGGGCGGGACATACGGCCTGGGGGCTGATAGCGCAGCCCTGCCATGTCGGCTAAAACGACATCTCACAGGTTCCCTCCTGGAAAAAACCATGGTGCCTGGTGATGGCCAGGCCTGCCACGTGGTCCTCGCCATCCTGGCGCCCCGCGCCCAGCACTGACCAAAACCACCTTTGGGTCTGTCGGCCGGCCTCACCGCTCCTCTTTGAGAGTCTGTGACGCCGCAAGCCGGCTGGCCTCAGTGTCTGTCTCACCTCAGGCGGGTCCCATGATGTGTGTCACACGTGGGTCGCTGTTGGGTGCGTATGTGGGATCATCTCCCGCGCCCCCAGGGCAGGGCTGCCTCGTGGGCCCCTCCCTGTAAAGAAGGGGCGCCGTGCTCAGGGCGTTGTTTCCACGTCATCTGTCTCGGTGAGAACAACCAGGACGCCCCACTGCGGTGTGACGGAGCTGCTCCTCGGCCTGGAGCTGGAGGCCTGGCGTGTTTGTAATGGTTCCAGGAAGGTCTGTTCTTGAGTCTCCCCATTACCTTCAAAAGGCAGTGGGCAGCTTTTGCAAGCCCAGATATGAATGGGGGTTCGTGGGAAATGCGCATAGGAAACGGATCCTTTAGTTTGCCTTAAAAGGCTCTTGTCCCCAGGCGCAGGGACACGGGGTGGAGCGCATGTCCTCGGAGAGGAGAGTTGTTGCCAGCAGCGTGCTCAGTCGTGAAATTGCCCGCCCTGAGTTGGCACCTCCCTGTGAAGTGGGGCTGCCCTTTGGGCTGAGTAGCGAGCTGTGGAAGACAGCCCCCTGGGGGAGAGGAGGGTGTGGGCGCCAGCAGTGGCCCTGGGGACAGTGACGCCCCAGAAAGAAGACGGTTGGCCTGTGACCATAAGAGCAGGGCTTGAAGGTGACACGTGCGTACTGCAGGGGAGTCGGAGCTGAGGGTTCTGAGGGTGAGGGAGGACGGGGCTCGAGGGCGGTTAGCGATAAGCAAGGCTCGGGTGAGAGGGAAGGTAGGCAGCCGCTGGCGTGGGGCTGGGGCGGAGGGTGAGAGGGGTGGGCTGGCAGCTGCGACCATGGACACCGATGCCAGCAGGGCCGGAGCCCGGTGCGCTCGTGCTCGGCCAGCGGGTGGGCGCGGACGTGGGGTGGTCCCCTGGGAGGGAAGAGGCCGGGGCTCCTGGGGCTCTGGCTGCCCCACTGCAGGGGGGCGCATCCCGTCAGAACTCACGCCGTTTCCGCTTTCTGTCACCAGACTGCTGTGGACGTTTTCAGAAGGATAATTTTGGAGGCAGAAAAAATGGATGGGGCCGCTTCCCAAGGAAAGTCTTCCTGCTCGGTGATGTGACTCCGCTGTGAACCCCGAGGACGCCGGGCCTGCGGGGGGGGCAAGCGCCCGCCACCTGTGAGATAGACTCTGCTTCTTCCTCTTCTGTTAACCTGAGAGATTGCATTTGGGTCAGAGCTTCCCCTTCCAGATTATGTTCGCCTCTGACTCTGTCCAGATGAGTTCACTTCCATGTTCAAATTTCAGGCAATCATATTTTCAATTTATATATTGTATTTCTTAATAATATTATGACCAAGATTTTATCGGCATTAATTTTTCAGTGTAGTTTGTTGTTTAAAATAATGTAATCATCAAAATGATACATATTGTTACACTACTATAACTAGGCTACGATATATCAGTGTTTATTTCATTGTGTTAAATGTATACTTGTAAATAAATTAGCTGCGAACCTTACTTAGTGTGACTTTCAGAGAAGAAAGCCTGGCCTCCTGCAGACCCCCGCCCCCCACAGGAAGGCGTGGGTCCGAGCTTGGCGCAGCACACCATGTGCAGGCCGGGAGAGCCGGATTGGGGTGGCCTCAGCCCACCGGGGCGTGCATGGCTTGGGCCGTGGTGGGAAGACCGTCCTGGGGTGCTGCGGGTGGCAGGGCTGCGGCCACCCACCAGATTCGGTCTGTGTCCGTGATACCTGAGCACCGGAGAAATTCTCGCTGCAGCTGTCAGGTTAGACTAAGGTTTTTTGGTTATGTAACACTGCTCCATCGTCTCTAAGGCTTCCAGCATTTCCGAACGCAAACCTCGCCCGTCGGTGCTTTTCCCACTGGAGCGCGCGCGCGCTCGCAGGCCCACGCGCAGGCGGTGCGAAGGCCACAGTGGCTGCACGCTCAGAGCTGCTCACACTCCGCAGCCCGTGAAACCAGAGCGAGGATCAGAACGCACGTATGGAGCGTGGCTAGTCGGGCGCCCGCTCGCAGCCCGCCCACGTGCGGTCCCCCGGGTGAGCCCCGACGTGCTGTAGCGCAGTGGCTCGTCACCGCGTCACCAGGCCGTGCTGGCGCCTGGCTTCTTTCTGACGACGCGGTAGCCCACGCGGCCGGTCCTCCTTGGAGTCTCCTGTTGGCAGGGCACCGCGCCTGCCCCTCCCTGCTCGCGGCTGCCTCATCCCCTTGCTCTCGTCCTCTGAAGGGGCCCCTCTCCCTGCCAACACCCTCTTCCTGGACCCGGTCACTCGCACAGCCACGTTTCCCAGTGAGCCCAGAGCGTCTCTCTCCCCGGCTTCCTCAGGCCCCAAGCGTCTCTCATCTTCTCTCTGGCAGGCATCTCTAGGCCCCAAATTGAATTCTTGATTTACTTAAAAAACCAGAGGCTCCCCTAGGCCCTTGGCTCAGGAAAGACACCAGTATCCACAGGGTCCCGAAGCTAGAACTCTGAACCCCGTCCTCACCTCACCTCACGACCTTCGGACCCCTCCCCGTCCGCCTCCACCTCACACCTCCTGTCATCAGCCCAGCGGCGGCTCCCAGGGCCCTGCCTGCTGAGGTCTTGCTTCCTGTCCACTGCACGCAGGTCCCCCTAGGGCCCGTCACACCGTGCCAGGTGTTGAGAACGTCAGTCATTTTCTGTCACTCCCTTCTGAAAAGACTCTACTTGTCTTTTTTTTTTTTTTTTTTTTTTTTTTAGGATTTATTTATTTATTTATACAAGCACTGGGTACAGTCAGAAGCGCGGGAGGGTGAGAGAATTCACCAGAGCCAGAGCGGGGAGCAGAGCAGGCAGAAGGACCGAAGGACACTGCTGAGGGGAGCAGCGGGCGGCAGGAGAGGTCTGCGCGCCATGTGGGACCCTCCGGTGGCCGGGGAGCAGCTGGGGATCGAACCGGCGCCGCGGAGGCTGCGGGCAGCTTCACAACCCAGCACTCAACCGCTGCGCCACCGGGGAGGCCCCGACTCTACTTGTCTTAACCTGTGTCCAAACCCAAACTGCCCACCTCAACCTGAAGGCCTGCCATGACCTCCTGGCAGCTCCAGAACCAGAGGGTCTCCTGAGTGCACCTCTCCCACTCCACATACAGCTGCAGCACCCCAGCGGCTCCCCACTCCAAGCTGGGCTCCCCGGACTCCCCAGCCCACGTTTTCATCTCATCACTTACCACACGTGTATGTAGTGACCTGCCCAGCTTCAGCGACGCACAGAAACGGCTCCTGCGTGCAGTGCAGCTCCTGCCCGCGCTGTGTGCTGTTGTCATGCAGACTGCACACGTGTGGACTGTATAAAACCAAACTTACCCGTGAAGTTGCCTTTTAAACAGGAGGGAAACGTTACATCAACAAACTAGACGTGGCTTTCCAGGGGCTGCCACTGACAGGCTGCTCTGAGCTTGGCCAAGTGCGTCCCGACATTCCCCAGTGCCCCGGGCGGGCTCTCCACCAGGAAGGCGCTGCCTGCACCATCGTTAGACACTGGCAGCTCCTGTGTTCAGGGGACCCCGAATTTGCTGCTGCCTCGAAATGGAGAGAAGGGTCAACAGCTCTTGGAGAGGTGTGGACTCCCAAGAGGGTGCCGTTGGCTCCTGGGGGGCTGCTGAGAAGACTGCAGCCTCAACGTGGCACGGCCAGGAGGGTGTGTGTCGACCTCAGGCCTCCGGCTGCCATGGTGAGGCCGGTGGTGCATGTTGACGGCTGCCAGGAAGGCTGTACCTGCAGCAGGACGCCTTCCTGAGCATAACTTGGAAATTTCCAGAACCACTTTATCTCCTCCCCCAAAGGGGAGAGTTCTACATTAAGCAAAAGCTGCGTGTTCACGTCCTTACTGCATTTCCGTTTCTTCCATTACTCCTGGGGTGAGCAGGGCTGGTCTGGCGGTGGGGCTGGAAAGCAGCTGAGCCCCATCTTCAGAGGAGAGCCCTCTGGACTCGGTCCTCACAAGCCTGACACCCGATGCCCGCAGGAGCCCCGGAACAGGCGGCGGCGGGCCCTCTCAACGGACTTCTGGTCCCGACCCTGCAGCTCTAGTGTCCAGGCAGCTCCCTCGCCCTCCGGGCCTGATGATGCCCGCTCTGCGCAGCCCCCGGGCCGGGGGTGGTGTGCTGGCGCCTGTAGGAAGCCTGGGCTCCTCCCAAGGCCCCGGCAAAGTCAAGGTCACATTTCCCGGAGGTGAGTGCTGCCCCGACGCCCGCCTGGGTCAGGCCCCGCAGCTGTGTGTCCCCAGCCGGGGTGGGTCTCGGAGGGGCTCTGGCTGCTGCCATGTTCCCGGGCTCCGCAGAGCCACGGGTCGCTGCCAGGCCAAGCATGCCAGCCGGAAGAAACGGCTCTGTCCCGTTCCAGCCCCAGGAAGCGGCACCCGACGGGCCACCCCCACGGCAGTCACATGGGGCTCAGTGCCCACCCAGGGGCTCCGACCTCCGACCTGCCCAGTCACAGCTCCGGGCCGTGGTGAGCCCGGTCCTGCCTGGACAGACAGACGGACTCCGAAGGGCTGTCTGCGCCCGCATTCTGCTACACCCTGGAAACGGCCCTCCCTGATATTTTTAAGGTTATGAAGTTTCCCAAGAAGCAGCAGAGGATTCTGGAAATAGTGTGTCCTCAGCAATCAAGACCTTTCACCCACTTCTTCCTGCTGCCCAAGAACGGCCCGGGAGGCGCCCGCCGCTTGTGAAACAAAACAGCCCTGGCAGGCTCCCCGCCCCGCCCGGCCTCTGCGCCAGGGTGTCCTGCTTCCTGGGACTGGGCTTCGGCGCGGCCGCCCCTCCTCCAGCCCGCAGTCCCGCGCGGGGAGCCGGGTGGCACAGCGCCTCTGTAGGGCGCCCCGCGCATGGGGCCTGAACTCTGCCCTGGAAGGCCTCGCGGGCCGCCTGGGCCCACAGCTGGAGCAGCTGGAAAGGTCACCTTCCTTCCCCTGACGCAAGACTCGTCTCCTCACACCCGCAGGTGCCCTCCTGGGTGGCAGGTGCCCTCCTGGGTGGTGCGTGACCAGAGCGCGGCCTGGGGAGCGCCTTCTCGCCCGCCCTCTAGTGGGGCGCGGGTGCCCCGCCTCGGGGCGTGCCAGTCACCAGGCGGGGCCCCGAAAACACACCAGGCCTCACCCCGACTTGATTCGAGGGTCGCAGGACACCCACATTCCCCACAGGCGCCCGGGCTGCTGCCGGGCCCCACCTGAGGCCCCTGAGGCGGGGCTGCCTGGAGTCGGGGCGCCGGGCGGGAGGACGTGACCAGGAGCCCGAGGGCGCGGGGCGCGGCTAACGCCTGGGACGCCCGGTGTGCGGGGAGCGCGGCCCGGGTGTCGCGGCCGGACCGTGACGTCTGCGAAGCCTGCGGGGGGCGGGGGGCGGGATGGGGCGGCCCTGCGCGGGCGGCCTCGGGGGCGGACTCCGAGCAGGGGACGCGGAGCGCGGAGGGGGCAGCCGCCGCTTGACGAGGCCGACGGGCCCCCAGCCGCCCCGACGCCGGGAGGCCGAGCGTTTCTCCGCGAAGCCTCGGGCAGGACCCGGGGCCCGAGGCCCGGCCGGCGGGCGCCGCTGTTCGCAGCTCCGGCTTGTGGCGCTCGCGACGGCCCTCGCGGCTTTCGCCCTGAAACCCAGGCTCCCCCGGCGAACCCAGGCCCCCCCGCGATCCCAGGCCCCCCCCCCCGGCGAACCCAAGACCCCCCCGCGACCCCAGGCCCGCCCCCGCGACCCCAGCCCCCCCCACGGCGAGCCCAGCGGGCAGCACCAGCCCAGCGGGCAGCAGGGCCGTCCGGGGCGGGGGCCGCGCCCGCTCCGCTCCTGGGGCTCCGCGCGGCGTCGGGGCGGCGGCCCTTCCTCGCCCCTGCACGGGCCGCGCCCGCAGCCGTCGCCTCCCGCGGAGGGGCCGGGGTGTCCGGGGACCCTTCAGGGTCCCCGCGCCTGGCCCACGTGTGCTGCTCCCCGCCGTCCCCCGTGCGGGGCGGGGCGCGCCTGGAGGGGCGAGCGGCCCCCGGGCCCCGGGCGTGGGGCGCGGACTCCGGGGCGCGAGGACTCGCGCTTCGCACCTGCGGGGCGGAGACCCCCGGACGCGCCCTGCGCAGGCGCCCGGCGGGCGGCCGCCCTTTGTGGGTCTGCAGAATGGGGGCGTCGAGCCGGGCTGCGCCCCGCTGGAGGCGGTGGTCTGGGGCAGAAGTTCTGATTTTCAGTCTGTAGCGAATTTTTTTTATTTTAAGGTCGAGTTTCCCGAGAGCGGCTGTGAAGCGGGGAGCCCCTGTGTTACAGGGCAGGGAGAGGGGCAGCCCAAACCCCGCAAACCTGCCTGTTCTACATGGGTTCCGCCATCCGCCGCATCCGCACAGAACACAGGAGACTTTAATGGGAAGGAACTTTCATAAAACTAGGAAACAATACAGGAAAGTGACCCGTCCCCTCGTGGGTAAAAGTCCACCCAAGCAGGATTGGCCCAGAGCAAGGCCCCAAAGCCTGCCCCAAGTCTAAAGCATCTTCCAGGG